GGGGGGGGGGGGGGGGGGGGGGGGGATAGCTTATCAGATCGTTGATTTGACTAAAGGGATCTACCCTCCTTAACAAAAGCCACAGATTAGCTGTATGTCGTCGCTTTTTAGGGACTGAATCAAACAAAATTTTGAGTCGTGGCATTTCCTGCAAATGTATCAGGATTCTGGGACATTTCTGGGGGGGGGGGGGCCAACAGGAAGTTTTGGCGACCGGGGGGACGCACCTGCTTGGTGACATTGGGCGGCGCCATCATGTCGAGGACGGGCAGCAGGCCGGTCTTGTCCGCAGCCAGCTGGTAGTCCAGGCTGTACTCCATCACCACGGAGATGGGAGTGATCTTATCCCGGAACTCTCTGTCATCCTGAACCAGGGGGAAAGGAAACCGATAGGGATGGGACATGTTCGACAGGAATGAAAGGCTCTTCTGGGCCACATTCAGTGACACACCTGTCTCACGGCAAAGCTTATCTTTAAAGTTTTGATGAGTAGCAAAACACAGTCATTTTTAATAATCTAACTTCTCTATTGGAATTGATATTAGTCACCTTATCTAAGTGATATCTATATGAATGCAAAGCTTTTATGTTATTTGTTCCCCCCTAAATTCAGGAAAAACAGTGACTGTTTGACCAATCCTCCTTCTTAAACAATTTTCTTCTACCTGTATATCAGTTAGTTAAGGAAAAATACTCACAACTTTTTAATTATTCTGCTATGTATTCAGTGAGTGCAGCAGTTTCCTCACTTTTTATTCACTTTTATCTGTCTGACATTTGTTTACCAAACTTGTCGGGCTCATTTATTCCATGTAAGTGTCAAAGTACTGAATTATTCCCTTTAAGGGAGTTAATTTATGTTCCACAAACGCTTTCACCTGAAATGAACTGAGGCTATTTTGTGTCTGCACATTGAAAGGTAGCCGCCTCACCCTCAGGAAGACGTTCTGCTCCTCGCAGGCTGGCCGTCTGTTGTTGGTCACCGTCATGTTCTTTGAGTACTGGAAGGTCCGACTGTACAGGAAGAGTGCACGTTTAGTCGTCTCCTTCTGTTTCAGACGGTCCAGCATGAGGTCCACGCGGAAATCTTGAGGCGTGATGGGAAAGAGGAAGAGGAGGAGGAGAATTAACTGAACTGACGGCTGCGAGGCCAAATCGTCGAGTTTCAGGTAGCTGCCGGAGCTTTACTTACTCAGAGAGCTCGGAGCCCCGTGACCCATGGCAGACAGACAGTACTTGACCTTAAAACTGCAAAATAAACACACACAAAACAGTTTAATTAATCAGATCTACTCATACTAACTGAAACTTCTAGCTGCAGGTTCTGGGTCAGAGTTTCTTTTAACACATTCAAAAGACTTGCAAACCCAAAATAGAAACACACACACACACATATACATATATATATATATATATAAAGTGCACTCTCCACCCTCCTTCACACTTTTCCTCCATTTTGTTAGCATCTCCGGCGACCCAGGTAAGTGTTTTTCTCTTTTTTTGCAGGTCCCACAAAGTAGTAAATAAGTAAGTAAGGTTCTTCTGCAGGTATGTATGGTTTTTTGCAGGTTTTAAAGGAATCAGCACCTGTTTGATGCTAAAAATGTTTTGAAATCTTTTCTGTGTATTAAAACAACAATAAAAGATTAACACTGCATAAAACGCGTCATTTTTGCCATAAAAAATGAATAAAACATATACGTATATATGTGATCACATTTGGAAAAAAGTTGTGTACAACTATGGAATATTAAAGATCTGTATTGTTCCTTCTGTTACCCTGGCCTTTTTTATCCAAGTCTCTCAGGGGACTGTGTAGGGGTTAAAATATATTCCAATACCACATTAAATATGAGAACTCACCATGACACAGTGGTGCTGGTACCGGGAATGGTGCAGGTCTTCTCCTCTGGGTTGATTATTTGAGGCGTTATGTCTAATGTGGCGTTCACACTGATTACAGGACGGGCTCTGATAGACACACACACAGATTTAACTGACTTTAAGAGGGTTTAATTACACCGCGTGATCATATTTAGATGTGCTGCATGAACAAGGGATCATCATTAAAGCGAATAAAGGTTGAACGTCTCCTAACATCCTCTGCAAAGCCAGAAGAAGCTAACTAGATGAAAAACAGCCGCTCTTTGATATCAGAGGTGGCCTCGCTCATTAACCCCCCCCCCACTCAGCTTCTGTCAGCAGCATTGCAGGGCACACACACAGCCGCAGCAGGGGAGCGCACACACTCACTCCGGCGCACAATGCAAGATGAAGATTTGATTACCTGTATAAAGCGGCTTTGTCTGCTCCAAACATCCCAACTATTAAATCTGCAGGACACAAACACAGCTCAGCTTATTTTTTCACCACATCATTTTACACCAGTCCAGCTGTGCTGCTTCACACACACGCTGGGTAATTTGCATGTATGTGTGTTTGTCTGTGTGTGTGTGTGTGTGTGTGTACCTGGGTATCCGTTCTGGTCTATGTCTGTATTTCCTTTCATCGAGTAGCCAAAGCTGAGGGGCATGGTGCTGGACGCCCATTTTCCCTCAAGGACCTGAGAGTAAGTGTCAGGTTTGAGTAGTTTTACGCAGAGTACAGGCCTTGCTTCCTGTTTTTGCTCATGACAACTACCGTTTTCAGTTTGAACTGAAGTGGCGGACAGCCCAAAGGTTTAAGAATCCCGATTACCGCTGAAATTACCTGGGAAGGCGTTGGGTCGGGACCCCGAGGGCGGCCATTATGGATGTAGACCAAGCCCCTGCGGTCAGGGCCTCCATAGGGAGCAGAGATGGCCACATCTGGAGGGGAGGGGGAAAACAATGTAGGTCAGAGTCTGGAGTGGGTCAGGATCCAGTAGCATCTTCGTGTTTTCCTATAGACTGAGCTATAATAGTACGTTTATAAACGTGTGTGTTGAAATGTCCCTTTCTGAGTGGAAAAAAACATGGCCAGAGTAGTTTAGCGTTCGTAGATCCAGAGATCCGGCCTACCGCTGTATCCGTCTCTGTCCAGGTCTCCCAGCAGTGCGATGGAGGAGCCGTACCTGGCGTACACTTCCGAGCCCGTCAGCAGCTGAGGCGGGTGGAAGGAAAATCCACCTCGACTCAGGTACACAAACACCTGGAGGAGACACACACACATTCAGCTGCACGTCAGGGGTCAGCGGCGTGCAAAACAACTCTAAAAAACACATTTTTATAAGAGGGATTCATTCGATTGGGAAGAATACGATATATCTTTAGTGACATGGTCCAATACAGCTGAAATGCAACTCATTATAGTTAAAAGAGTAAAAAATAAAAGGTCTAAATGACGACAAAAATATAGTTCTTGGTCCTTTAAGAAATTCAAAACAAATGCATTTTTTATGCATTTATTACTTAAAGTCACTGACAGTTGAACTGTTTATTTCCTGGTTTTGTTGCTCCGGTTTTCTGAGGATGTTTTGGGCTTTTTTGAGGCAACTCACAGACTAAAGTTAAGCTTGTTTGCATTATAAAAACATGTCAGATGAAACCAAAATTCTTATCTGAGCTCAAACATGTGAGGACCAATTTATTTCATTGGGTCTCTCACCTTTAAACGTGCTCTCATAGACCGACCCATGTGTGCACAAATAGCTGTTTAAAGCGTATCAGGACAATGTAAAAGAGTGAGTATCTTTAAAGGAAGCTATTCAGATGGTCAGGTATAAATACACACGAGCAGCATGAACAGAAAAAAACATTTCTCATTTTCAGCCGAAATGAGGAAGTTTTAAAGTCTAACCACAAGATGAAGCATAGGAGAGCACGATTTTCTGAAGATTTTGGTCAGCCCCCGTCACAGATAGAAGGAAGAAAATAACGATTATATGTAAGAAGTGCTTAAGTAGTAATTATGGCGTAATACGATGCATACAGAAGGAGATCATATGAAATAAACACATACATGTTTGCATGAATGCTTTTCTCTATCTTCTTATTATAAGTATCAAAAAGTTAGTACGAACACATCTGGTCCTTTGCTAAAATGTCAGGCTACATCCTCGAAAGCACACAGCATGTGACATTCACTCGTGTGAACACAGTAAACTAAAAAACAAACAAAGTTTTCCTGCAGGAAATGTTGTGTTTGTGTGTTTTTGTGTGTGTGCACATTTCCTACCTGTCCCACCTCCCTCAGTTTTCCATCTGAGCCTCTGTCCATGAAAAGGGGAGCTCCGACCAAAAGATCCACCAATCTGACAAAAAAAGAGATTCAATCTTCAGGCTGTTTTCTTTTAAATGAAACTTTCGAAAATGATTCACTTAACTTTTCTTTTCATGATATTTCAATTCAATTTCAATATTTGAGTTTAGATACTCTTTGAGCATCTTTGGTGCTTGAATGACACCAAAATGAAGTCATAACTCAAATCCATAAATGACAACAAGGCCTCCGTCAGCATTAGTCAGGGGTCTGATGCTGATATCAGAGGTTGCCTTGCTCATTAACCCCCCCCCCCAAACCCAACCCCCCCCCACCCCCTTCTTCCTGTTGGGAAGGATCATGGCCAACAATTTCTGCAACTTCCTGAAAGACTGGAATTTGCAACCATTTCTCATTTTGGCTTGCTTTTTTTTTTTCTTAGCATCAAGCATTCACAAAAAAAAAAACATGCGCTTTAACCCTAAAATTTGACATCACATTCTGCGGCAGAATCCCTTTGCGAGTGCACTGGTTTGGAAGAACCAGTGCACACTTTATTGTGGCCCCTATCTATCTTGTGTCATCAAAACACGCCCCAGGAACTCGAGTCTGCTTTCACTTCTGGAGCGTCACAGGGCCGGACAGCTTTGCTCAGACTGAAGCCGAACTTCTAAAAGTCCCACGTGCCTTTAAACGCAGCGCTTTGGAGCTCTGGAGCTGGAGATTGACAGCGCTATTTGTGGAGAAAACATTCAAGCGTAAAACCCACACTTACCCGTCATTGTTAAGATCAGCCGCAGCGACTGAGTGTCCAAAGTAGGCCGCCATCTAAAAGATGGAGAGAGTTAAGGGTGGGGGGGGGTCAGAGGAGGTTTAATGAGTTTTGGGATTCTGATGGCCTTCAGTGAAGAAAATCTAGCATATTCGTTTCCACTTTGTGGGGGTTCTTCACATGCCCCGTTTTAATATGACGTATCCAGAATGTGGACAAACTGACAAACGAGGAAAACAGCCCCCCACCGCCTCCCGAATGACTCTGTTGAAAAACTATGTGAAGGACAAATCCACAGTCTGTCCCTGAAGGCCGACAGCTGTCACACGGCTGTGAAACATAAGAGATAATGTTTCATTTGTGCCGGAGAGCAGCAACAGGAAAGGCCCCACATTTCTTTAACATAATAAATTAGATGACCTCTTGCGGAAAAAAAAAAAAAGAGTCTTATCATTTTTCAAAGTCCGGTCAGAGATTAATTCAGAGCCAGAACCCAGTGATAGGTGACTGCTGAGATGTTAGTGTCCCATTTCAACCAAATAGGTTCAACGTTTCTGTAAAGAACCTTTAAACATTTCCTAAATTTCCATAGAGGGCTATAATCTAGATAATGTAATTAGATTACTAAAGATCTGCCATCAGTCTGGATCAAAAACGTCTAAAATGACACACCCGAAAAAAAAAAAAAAGACTACGAAGAGCTGTAATTACATGGATGCATTTTCCTGTGAAGCTGTCAGAAATACTGTAGGTGACACAGAGATAGGACAGAGAGAGGAGAAGTGGCTGAAAGAAATGCGGAAGATACAGCAGAGATGTAAACAGGCTCTTCTTCAAAGGAAGAGACGCTGATAAAAGCCAGCTCGCTGGGTTTAGACCATAAGTTATGGAGGACAGGCAGGAAAAGTGAGGAGGAACTCTGTCATTAACTCTGCTGATGACAGCCTCTCTCTGCCCACACGCCCCCCCCCCCTCTAAAAAAGGCTCCAACACTTCTCTGTGTCCGAAAGGAGTTCCTAACAACGAAGCCCCCCTGACCAAAGCCATCAGCCAACAGGGAGGAGCCGACTTTTAATCCGATTTATCAGATGGGTCTCAGGGGAATTACTTGACTTATGTGTTTCCACTGTAGATAAACGCATTCATTTCAAAAGAGGAATGTCTTTTTTGGAGATTTGTTTTTAAAAATGCATCCATTTCTGGCCTCACAAACCACAACACAGCTAAATCAAAAGTAAGCAGTTTTTGTGCCTGTAGAGCTGAGTCATGTTTTTACAAAATCCTTTGTCTATATAGATAACTTCTTTCTTTCTTTTTTTTTCCCCCATTCAGAGGAGTTCTGCCCTGGAGAAGAAAGTATTTTTCTCCAGCAGCCACGTAGGTGACAGCTTTGTTTGCATTTTTGGGGTTTGACCACACACTGAACACACGTTTGCAAAAACCTGAATTTGGTTTATTCCTACACAAAAGAAAAAGCAGAGCAATCATGGCTGAACAAAACAGCCAGCAGCATCTTAGTGAATCACACAGCAGCTGATTTATGAGACGTGATCATACGTTGTGCTGGTTGTGGGGGGTCTGAATACCCACAGCCGTAGCAAACTTTGTGTTTCAGTTCAACCTTTTTGAAAGTGTCTGTGATGCCTTCCAGTGGTGGCACTCTATCTGGGATATCTAAACTGTATCAATCTAATTCTGCATCGCAGAATTTTCTTTTCAACTCAGGGTTTTGCAGTATTTAGGTATTTCTATACATTATTTTTGCTGTAAAATAATCATTTTCTCACCCAAAAAACGAAAACAATATAAACAAATGTAAAACACAATAATTAAAATAGTGTTTCATCTTAATAAAATGAGCTGGTTTGATGAGGTGAGCACATTATTGGCTGATGGATGTCTGGAGACCACGCAACCCCAAATACATTTATATATTATTTATATATATATATATTTCAGAGATAAGGGATGGTTTTAGTCTCACCTGAGAGCCTGTGAAGTTAATCATGGATTCCATGTTGAGACCATTGAAGATGTTCACCTGAAAATCACCACAGAGTCAAACTGGGCTTTAAATAAACTGCATCAAGAAATCAATCTTTATTTTTTTTTAAAACCTCTGCTTGAGGTTAGGGAGCAGGTCAACATGGAGGACCACTAATCTGTAGCCTTTAGCTTAGTTTACTGGAGCTTTCATAACTTATACATCCGAAAAAAAAGATATCTGAAACCTACTTAATGAGCATTTTCTACTGAGTGACTAGTTTGTGTGGAGTGAAACTACTCAAATAAAACTGGATCAGGGTCACATCTTCACCCCCAAATGAACCAACATAACATAAAAAGTGTAAAACACTCACATATCCCAGTGCCTTGTCTCCTCTCGGTACCCCAGTCACATAATCTGTGCAGGTGAGAAAAGACGGACAGTTAATAACCATAAATATGTGCTAAAACAGTGTCAAATATCTATTAATAAAGAGTGAATTGTTCTTTTCAAAGTCAGCTTTTCTATTTGGTTTGAAATCTTCAAGCACATTTTCTGCGTTTTTTAGCTGTTCTGTGACATCTGAAGAATACACTGTAACATTACAGCTTGGTTTCACAGTATTCTGGATGAGCTGATAAGATCATCATGATTTGAAGACCAAACGGGACGCGGTGAGCTCTGTGCGTTCGTCTGTCAGACTCAGTCACACCTGAGTCAGCCTAGGAGCCGCCTTTACTTACTCCTATTGAAAACCCACAATGCTTAACTGAGGGCTGATGTGTAATTATGATCTTTTCAGTTCATGTTAATTGCTCAAATGTGCAAATGATTCATTTGAGGCTGCTCTGAAACATGGTGTAATGTTTGTTATGAGGGTGAGTGTGCTTAAGCTCCTCAGCTCAAGCTCATAGCTGCAAATCAAATCCTTTCAAGATGTTTTTGCTGAGAATTTGCCAATAACGCCGAAACTGTTCAAGTGACTGTGGCATTTAGGAGGGAAAAATGGATGCGCTCTATGGTTTACAGACAGTTTATTATTCGTTTGACGTGTTTTCAGGATGATTCTCTTGTACCTTCTGTCCCGTCGTCATTGAAGTCCCCGACTGTCACCGAGTAGCCTGTTGGCATGAATTAAAAGAGTTCATCACATTCTGAAGTCCATAGTCTCTGGGCCGAAGCCCGCCTTTGTGAAGAGCGCGTGCGCGAATGTGTGCGAGGTTACCCAGGTAGCTGTCGTCGTAGTTGGCGCCGGCCGACTTGGTGGTGAGCGTGGCGCTGTAGGGGTTTATGAACTTTTTGTCGTAGCGGGTCAAAATCTCGGAGAAGGTGTCGGAGATCAGCTGGCCTGGGGGGGGAGGAGGACGGGCGTTAGATGGACGGAGGGGGGGCCGAGTTTGGGCAGCGGGAAAACACAGAAGGCGACAAAATGAGGGGGAGAGAAAAACATGACTTTACAGGATTTTGTTTACAAGCTGTCACACACAGAGGCAGAAAAAAGGGCCAGGGAGACTAATGAGGAACACAGCTCTCTGTATATGTGTGTGTATGTGAGTGTGTGTGTGTAAGAGCCAGTGGTCGCTTGTCTAATTGTGAGTGTTGACTCAACAGGAAACAATAATTAGGCTGTCACAGCCCGGGAGGAGCCTGTCCCCCTCCACCACCAGAAGAAAACTGACTCAGCTCTCGGGATAAAGTCGGCGTCACACCCTCTAATGTCAGACGTCCAGAGACCAGCGTAGGACTGCAACACCCAGCTGATCCCACACGGATCATCCGCTGCTCATCCCGCCTGCTCATTACCGTCTTAAAGGGATGGTGAAACGTGCAGAAGAGAACCCCCCCCTCTTTTGATCCACGCGGCCTGAGGCAGCGTCCAAACTAACGGGACGTTCTTTTAGCAGTGGTCAAAAGACGATGGATGCCTCTAACTTTTTTCTAAGCAGGTTTTAGTAAATTTGCCTGTGTTGTTTTCAAAAGCACAAAAGCTGGTTATTATTTCCTTGACTGGAAAAGAGCTCAAGATTATAAGAAAGAAAAAAAATTAAATTAATGTGAAAAAATGCCAATTTCTCTCATGAGAATGAGAGAAATTGGTGCGATTAGTGTCCACTCCCTCTGACTAAACTGCTGCTCACACCTCAATGAATTGTGTCAATTTTGGGTCTGCTGACATGCTCAGTTGGCCGGATGTTTTCTGAGGGTGACGTCTCAACCTTGAGTTTTCTGAGCTGTCTGTTGTTTTGTCTCGGCTGCTTTCGGTTTAATCTACCACGAGAGATTTTCACTAACAGAAAACCGAATCTCGTTCATCCCAACAGGACCCTGAAGCACCAGATTTCCCTCAAAACAATACAAGAAACTCATAGAAACCTCTCCCCCAATCACAAAGAGGTAGATCTCCTTGTATTATGCGGTCAGCATAAGTCTTTTAAGGAAGGCTGAAATATCCAAGGGGGAAAAAAAACACTTTGCTTTCTTGCCAAGCGTTGGGCTCATGTTTAAAAAAAAAAATGAAGCTTGAGACGGCAGCTGGCTAGTTTAGCTTAGTGTAAAGACAGGAAGTGGGCGGTAATAGCTTGTCTGGCTCTGTCCAAATGCAACATAAACCTACGGATCATTAAATAAAAACCAAACAGAGGACAAAGGAACGCATGGAAATGGATACAATGAGGTATCAGTTACGATAACAACATGTAAAAGAACAGAAAAAATGGTCTGGAGTTTAATGGAGGAGCGTGGGTGCGTGCCTTTCTGGAGCTGTTTTTTTGTCAGAATGACTAAGTGGATTTTTGGGACATCCTGAGGATGAAGAACTGGGAGACTTCACCACACCCACTTCAAGACGGCAACAACATGCGCACAAACACACCCACACACACACACACACAGGGACAGGGCAGCACTCACCCTGCCAGTAGAAGCTTCCGGGTCCTCCCAGCACCACTCTTTTACTGTTCTACAGGCACAGAGAAAAGGAAAGAAAGGCAAATCTGATTCTGAATGACTTATTTCTTATTAGTTCAAAATGACACACACAATGAGGAGTCAGACAGGTGGAAAATAACCCAAAGATTCTGCCCTAAATTGACACTGATCTCCTTTTTTCTTCACAATCTGATGACACCTGCTGACCACAGATAGGTCGACCAGCCCATACTCTTGTGATCCCGCTGCTTTAAGTTAAACACTTTAAACCAGATCAACTGGTCATCTTCCTAATAGCAACGATAAGGGGCCTTTCTGTCATGCTTTTGTTTGTTCTTCTCAAATCATAAAAAAATCACCTCACCAGGGTGTGTTGCAGAAGTTAAAAGAAGCAAAATAAAACCCCAAATGGATTTAACACAGCAGGAGAGTTTTGGAAAAATAATACTAAGAACGTTTTTTGCTGGAAATAAAGGCGATAACAGTCGTCTTGATTAACTTCTACAACAGGATAGAAATTTCTTTGGAATTAAAAATAAGATATTGTTTGAATCAACTTTAATAGCTTTGGCCAAAGAGAAATTCCCCCATATTAAAGATATATATATTCATATGCATATACATTCTAATGAGGAACACACAATGCTCTACACTAGCCCTAATCGTTTACAACAATCTCAATGTTTAGGCTTTCTGTCAGTATTCTCTCCTCATGGGCCTGTGAATGTTTACCTTCAGAAAGTCTGCACTGAAGCCGGCCTGGCAGAAGCCCTGCCCCTCCGGCGAGCTGGCAGCTTCAGGGAATACATCAAAAAAGCGACACGTTAACCAACCGACGGGGTCGTTCAACCACAACGTGACGTGGCGTGAAACCTTTCTTTGCTATCGTCAGCAGACGTACATGTTCTGCAGGGCGAGTACTCCACCACCGTGTTCCCTTTCTTCAGGAAGCACGTTCCCACCGGCTCGCGCTCGGAAAAGCCGAAGGTGGACCACTGGTACAGCGGAGCGCAGGCCTGGAAAACACACAAACACGCACACACACACAGGTATGCCCACAATCAGCACACTTGTGGTGGAAAAACATGCGCTGAGCCAAACTTTAAGACTTCAGGACTGAAGCGTCCACGTTTATTTTAACTATCAACTGGAATGAGGAAGTAAACTGACGCGTAAACCTTTTGGTCGATTTCTAATTTAGTTGTGGACACGGTCTGTTCTTCTCCTTTTAGAAATAAACAGCTTTAACCCCAGACTTGTCTGTAAAAGCTCAGGTCAGAATGAGTGTGTACAGCAAACAGATGCACACACACACACACACACACACCTTCCGATGGGCAAAAGGTTCCCTCCGGTGGGTTGTGATTTGAGTTGACATGGAAACATAAAGCAGCGACTTCTCAAAAACCTCCTCATTTTGGTGGTGATGGTCGTGGTGGTGGGGGGGATGTATTTCTTACCAGAATGTGTTCTCCGTCGGATCGCACCGAAGCCCCGAACCACTGCTTGGACTTAAACTCCATCTGAACTCCTTTGTCGTTGGTCCTGTCATCTGAGAAAAGACAGCGGTCGTACAGAAGAAGAACAAGTAGATTAGGACTAGTGTTAAATAGCCACAGAATAACTTGTTTCCAAGTTGGTTTTGGTCACTGCTGTAACAGGAAAAAGACCAAAACTAATGAAGGGGTGCAGAGGGGAATGCAGAGGGGGCTGGACATGCCTCTGTTAATGAGTCTTATACCCCCTGCTTTTGGATGGAGCTCAACCCACTGTTTTTTCCCTGCTCTTTTTCATGGTTGCATGGATTATGAAGAAGAAATCTCAAACATTAGAGGAGGTTTGACTGGTAAGAGAGGAAAGAAATACCCCCAGCGAAATTCAAAAGTTTCAGGTGGCTGTGACAGATCCGAAGAAAATAAAGGAATAATAATAATCGTCCCTTATTGACAACATCTTGGACGGTTGGAATGATTCTCTTTAGCTCTGGACAATGAGGGTTATCCTCCTATTATTTGTGCGCCCGACCTCAAAGCCCGTTGCTTAAATCTCGGGATGAATCACACAGCGCTGACACACAGGAAACAGACGAATCAGAAATGACCCAAAGCAAAGATTCCACACAGACGGGGCGGGAATATTTGGGATTTTCCCGCCCCATCACATTGGGAAACTCCAGTCCTGGGCGTGGAAGCTGACTTTTAAAGTCCTCAGGTTCTTGGAACAGTTGGCTTGATTGGGTAGAAATTAGGACGCTTTCGGGCCCATCGGGGCATGCAGATAAACAGGGAGGGGATTATTGTCTCCAGTTTGGCAACAGGTTGGATATTTCCTCCCTAATCTCTTATTATGGTGGTGAATCAGCCGGCCATGATGCAAAAGGGGTTTGCTGCCAGCTAGTTAGCATCTTAACAGAGCGGCTGCCATGGCTACAGACTCGGCCTCTTTGTTTGCTTTTTTTTTGTCGGTGGAGATCTCTTCACCCAAAGAGGTTCCTTCGGCCTCAGGGAAACACTGAGGAACAGGAATCTGTAGCTGCCGGATCAGCTCTTAAACGCCACGCCGTCCTGTGCTAAAGCTACCGCTTTAACAGGCCCCCCGTTTGCTTCTCAGGATCACAACAAAGCAACTAGGCCACTGAAATGCATTCGGTTTGGGTTCGTTGTCGATAACAAATTTCCAGAATTAGGATCGTCAAGAAATCCTTGCTGAGAACATCAATGTGTGCTCAAAAAATTCCTAGGAAAATGAGAGCAAGAAAAATTATCTATATTCCTCCTTCTTATAAATTAAGTCTACGCTGTGAAAGAGAATAAAGTGTGTCACAATTCCGAAGCACAGTCTGACAGACAGTGTTTTGCTTTCCCTTTTATATCTGTTGCTGCTTGGGGATATTTCTGTCCCTCTTTTGGAGCATGCTTCCTGTTACAGGCAGTTCTGAGGAGGAGAAAAATAAACCAAAATCCACAAAAAAAAAAAAAGAATCCCTGCACCACGAATCCATGAATCACACATCTGAGACATTCGGGCCCCAAAAAAAAACGACAAAAATAAATAAACTAGTGGCGGATGGTAGTAAGGCGGCTCATTATGGAGGGGATTCCGGTTCGTTCTCGCTCTCTGGTGCAGTGAGGCTCCGGCCGGTCATCACGCAGGTCAAATTAACAACAAAGGCCTCTTTTGTGAGGGAAAAACTCCCACAAACGCGCGCGCCGGACAATGAACGGAGGCCGCTCTCTGCAGCATCGGGGACCAGACTGACTGAGTCAGGAAGGCCTCAACGGCCCGAACCCCACTGAGACAAACTCCCCTTTTATGGGCATAAACCACTGGAGGAGAGTTTCAGCACGTATACGAATACCTGCATTGTCTCATATGATCTGATTAAGGATTTCTACCACACGGCTCTTTCAAGTATTCGGTTTAAAGGGGAACGCGGTGCTTTATGGCGCGCCCGCGGCCGCCATAGCCAAAGGTCTGCTTATTAGGAGCAGCTGTGCAATCTATTGAGACAACCGCACGCGGCAGCTGCACCTTGTTACGTCTTCCTGAGGCTTTACACTAAACTCTGGGCAAATAGGCTGCTTTTAACATCCAGACGTGAAAAGAACCGGCCCGATCGAGCCGTGACGCGTGGAAGGAGAGCAGCCGGACGATTCCGGGAGACGTGAGATCAATGTTTCTATTTCCGAAATGCCGCAAAGGCCCCATTTGATGTGCTGCACTAACACTTTGTGTTTGTTTGGGGGGGTGGGGAGCGGAGACAGAGTTTGTTGGGTTATTGTCACTTCCTACTTTAGTGACTGAGGTCTACCGCGGAATACCAACTAGACTCGACAACACAGCGTCGGTCACACACACACACACAGACACACACACGCTGGCTCCCTTCGTGTCATTTACGCTTCACTTCTGAGTCGGCCACTGAAACATTTCCCCTCTGTCTGTGTTAAAAGGGAAACCTCACAGAAGAAAACACATAGGCTAGATATATCTTATCTAAGGGAAAAGGATTCCTTTTTTTCGTGTAAAAAAAAAAAAGACCAAACGGTTTCAATCTAATTTCCCGCCTGAGGAAATAAGACTAATTGACATGAATGTGCTTATTAAAAAAACGAATTTCAAATGCCACACAAACACACCGCCTCTGTCTCTGCTCCCTGTCATCTCCATCCTCCTTCCTCTGAACTGCCACCTGACCCAACGAAACAAGCAGAGGAAGGTTTAAACTTCTAAAAAAAAAAACTTCTGGAAAATGGAGGAGAGATGCACGGCCTCGGCTAGTTTTCGGACGTCGCAGAGGGGAAAATGTAGGAATCGACCCTGTTTTTTTGTATCCGCGTGGAGGATTTGAGCAACTGTGCGCAGTTCTGCCGCAACTCCACACGCAGAACGAGTTTCAACAAAGCGAAAAATAGCTTTGCTCGCTCCCTTCGGGGCAGGTTTGTTCACGCCATCGTCGTCTCCATTAGAACGCCGGATGCTGATTAGCACAAAGGGCCCGAGGAGCCAATTACAGTTCACAACCGGCCTCCTTTTTTTTTTTTTTCC